GATGGCGTCGGTACGCAGACAGAGATGGCGTCGGTACGCAGACAGAGATGGCGTCGTTGCGCAGACAGAGATGGCGTCGGTACGCAGACAGAGATGGCGTCGGTACGCAGACAGAGATTGCGTCGGTACGCAGACAGAGATGACGTCGGTACGCAGACAGAGATGGCGTCGGCACGCAGACAGAGATGGCGTCGTTAAGCAGACAGAGATGGCGTCGGTACGCAGACAGAGATGGCGTCATTGCGCAGACAGAGATGGCGTCGTTGCGCAGACAGAGATGGCGTCGTTGCGCAGACTGAGATGGCGTCGCTGCGCAGACAGAGATGGTGTCGTTGCGCAGACAGAGTTGGCGTCGTCACGCAGACAGAGATTCGCAAACAGCGATGGCGTCGTTACGCAGACAGAAACGGCGTCGTTACGCAGACAGAGATTGCGTCGTTGCGCATACAGAGATGGGAATTTGCACGTTGCAGGGTTGGTGATGATGGCTTGTTCGCCGATTGAGGGTCGCTGCGAAATAGGGCCATGTTAATAAACTATTCACGACTCCATTTGATAGTATGCAAGTTATCACGTGAGCTTATACGGCATGACAAAATTAATTACTCAAAAACTTGCAATGTCTCTGTCCTAACTTCACACTTAACACAACTGAATACAAGAGCTATTCTAAGGGCAGGGTTTCTAAGTTAGAGAACTTACGAGAAGATGTTGACAGCCCGATGTCAGAGAGAGAAATGGGGGGTAGAGTAGGAAGAGACTATAGAAGGAGGGAGGCGTAGAATGTTGGCAAACGGCGAAAATAAGATTTCCCTGGACTATTCTTATGATGATATGCTAATCATTAATACGATAAACATAATGTTGTGGGTATTAATATTATGAACATAAAATTAGTTCTATGTAGCGAGATCCACTACACAGGGTTATTCCCATCTCTTGGAGAGGATTCGAATTTCTAGTCTATTTCTGGATGGTTAAAGTCACCGACGATCAACGTATGCGACCTACTGAAAGTCATCGTCGGTAAAAGGCTGTTTAGAACTTTATCATCAGACTATCAGAACTGTTTGGTGATCTATACACTACGCATACGAAGAGGCTCTTGCCAGACGTGGACTCGTCCTAGTCGTATTTAGCACCCGTTCTTGAAACCCAGCCTAAAAACCCACTAGTTTTCTGAATATATTCTGAGAAGCGACATAGAATGAAATACAATGAAAATACAATAATCGGACTCCTGATATTATGACTGCTTCAACAACTGAATTCCTTATAGACGTGGAGCTAGATGGACTCTTATCCAAAGCTCTTAAATAATCACCAATGAGATTGGAGTTAAATGGAGTCTCTTCTTTAGTAATCATAATAGCCGAAGAAATAATGCAAAAAAATCTGACGCTGATGACTGGAACACTACGGTAAATTGGAGAATATGATATTAATTACAATAATAGCGGCAATTAATTTATGTTTTTGGCGGGTTTGATTGGTCATAACATGCGTTTTATCACCTTTTGAATGGAAAAGAAACGTGGAAAAAATTGTGACGATTCTCGTTCCCGCTCATTCATTGATAGAGATTATTCACCCCAGATTATTCAAAAACTGATTTTCAGGGTATCTTTTAACGTCGAGACTGACAGCCGAAAAATTTGCACCTGCAATTTGCATTTTGCAAACCTTCACTCCGAGTTTGAGTCTGAATGACAGAATCTCTGAGAAGCAGTCAGCAGTCGCTAGTCAGTTGCAGACTTGCATTGGCACTCGCGGTCCGCGGAGCCTGTACTAAGTTCATCGCCGACAACTCAAGTTACAAGGTACTGAAGGTAGTACTCAATTTCGCTGCCGCTGGTAGCCTGGTACACTTTGGGCACAGAATTACTTAGCGCTTCGGGCCGGACGTGTGCGGCTATTCGATAATGTGGCCAATCTGGTGATCTTTTGAGTTTTCATGATGACAGACCGCACCGCAGACGACAGTACTGGTCGGCGCCTCGGATGACAGACTGGTCTCAGAGGTCTGACTCTGACTGGCGTCTGGCAGTACGACTACGCCAGTACCTAATGTTTGGCATAAAAGCAAATGTTTTGAGTATGAATGCATCATGCATGGATAAACAGGTGGAATGAATTCAATGAAAGAAGAGAGGATATTTGTTTTATGTGTGATAGAGGCAAAATGGAAACTAGAGCACCAGGCACCTGATGATCTTTGTCACACAGTTTGTGATGCAAAGCATACAAGAGGCGAGAGGGAAAGACTGGAATAATCATAGACAATATTATAGCCAACTCACAGCCAAGGGTAGAGCCGTTATCAGCTGTAGAGGAGTGGGAAAATTTGTGTTGAGAGTTGAATGAAAGCAGGGGAATTATGTTCAAGAAGAAAGTTATTTTGGCTATTATTGTTAATCTCAGCCCTCAGGTACAACTACAAGTGAATTTGGATTAGTGCCCTTCAAGCTTCAATAAGTGTCCATGAATTATTGTATTTTGGATTATTGAATTATCTTTCTGTATTGTTCAGTTTGATGTGTATTTGTTTGTCTTGGCAGGACAGAGCCCTCTCCTCTCAGGCTCTCTGTAGTCTCGCTGTAGTTGTTAAATACCTAGTCTAGTTATGATCACGATACTAAGCTGTTGGGAATTGGGATTTCCTGAATAAATATACAAACTATTTATCTATCAACTTAACCCAACAGCAGTGGACAGCCAACATAATTACAATCTCCCATTCTCTCATACATTTCAGTTTCACCAATCATGCATGGTGCGAGGTGGCAAACAAATTTGGATCCCTACTCACATTCAGACAAATTTATAAAATTATATTATTATTATATTATTATTATTATAATAATATATTATTATTATTATATTATTATCATTATAATAATATATTATTATTATTATATTATATTACTTTTATAATATTATTATTATAAAAGTACAGTACATGTTCTACATTTGTTCTGTTTGAATGCTCTACAATCAATTTTATTAACTTTTTGTACTACATGTTCACAATGATAGACTTGACTTGCACTGGCCCACATCTGATTTCACCATAAGAACTTGTAAACAATAGTGCAATGCAATTGGTAATTTGAAACACCAACAACACTTGGATTGCTCATGGCCCCTCTCAAGGCTCTCATCCAGCATCACAATCAATACTCATCATTTCCAAGACAGCAAGACTGCAGTCTCAACCTGACCTTGTTTCCCTCTTCTAACAAAAAAGAATGTGATGCATGGCAGTGGCAGGTAGCCAATATAAAGGCCTGAGTTGAAGGACTTACAATTATAAAGGCCTACTGCCTACTGGTAACCAATATAAATCCTTTTCAGGGTCATCACCAGCCAAATCTTTTGTGCTTTGATTATAATGATGTATAATCTAGACCACAGCTGACAGTGGCACCCAACACTTGATAATGATTGCATAGAATTATTTTATTAAGCTCCACTCCAGGCCCAGAATCCAAAAATGAGAAAATACTGATAGATTTTGCTAATGCATTTTTCTTTATTTATCCTTGTTATATATTATTGGCTATAAAGACTAAAAGCATAGGTATGGTAGTTAATTTTACAACAAGCACTAGCCTAAATACTGACAACTTTAGGGCCTAAATCTCTGACTCTGGTTTCTGGTGATTTAATTTTTCCTTAAATTGGTGAAGAGTTCAGGACTTGCTTCTTGATTCAATAGTGGCGCTTTTTCATTAACAGTTAGTTTGTATATACTAATCACTAGCAGATTGTCTGTAATGCACAGAAAACACAATAAATTGTCTCATTTTTGTCAATATACTTGGAAAATTTTATGTTTGGGTTTCCACTCTTGTTATGCTATAGATATCATCAAAATCTCTTGTCATGCTCAATTAATGACTGAAAAATATTTGTATTTGCATAGTATATATATAATCAAATATAATATGAAACTGCTATGCATCTTCACTCATAAATAGCTTTTTCGCGCTGTGTTAGAAAATTAAGAGCAAGATGGATGAGGATTTAGGTGTGAGGATATAAATTAGCACTGTAATTAAACAGCTGTCAGAAGTATCATCAATCTTGCTAATTGATTCCTGAATATCAGTGGCAAACTGAGTGGCTCAAGGAGCAGAAGCTGTAATTGCAACATTTCAAAACCTTATAATCATGAAACTTTGTTTAACTATGAAAATTGATTATAAAAGATTTAAATTGACTAATATAGTATTTATCTAAGATGAAGCATGAGCCTCATTTGAGTATCTTGACAGACAAGCCTATTTAATTTTCATTAGAGAGTGCCAGTCATTTTAGGTTATGGTGGTAATATTTAGGTAAAATGGTACTAAGAAATCATTTTATTAACAATATAATGGATTCTGATAGGGTGGCAATTTGAATTAGGTGAGGAATTACATGTGTCACTGACAAGAGCAGCTACATTGCCTGCCCTTATACATATCTGCATTTATAGTTTGATATTTGTTTCAGTGGAAGAAAGTAAATGCAATTGTGACCTTAGAGCTGTTCTGCTAAAAATTATCAGTATTTAAGCCATTTGTTCATATCTTGAGGCTGAAATTTCTTTCTCTCTTTCAGAAAGATGAGTGACGACCTCGAGAACTGGGCATGTGCAGAGCTAGACAGCTTAGGCCTGCCTGATGCCTCAACTATCATCCAGTATCTGAAGCCTCTTGAAGATCCTGAAGAGGTTGAGAGCTTTTTGAACTCGATGCTAGACATCACAGAAGAAAAACACTATGAATTCATACAAGAGTTTTTGAACAGGCAGGCAGCTTCCAAGATTGATTCTAGGTTCTACAGGAAGAGTGATATTGAAGAAAGTAAACCTATTAATCAGGCTAAAAAGAAAAACAAGGAGAAGAACAATAGCCAAGTGAATAATAATGATAATCAAGGGAATAACAAGAAATCCAACAAAAAAAGTAATGAGAAGGAAAATCAAACTGATAAAAATAAAGATACCAAAGTGCGTGAAGGTTCTCCTGCAGTTGGTGCAACTTCAGAAGCTACAAAAACTAGCGCTGGGGGTAACAAAAAGAAAGCTAAGTATGTGAATTTGTACACATCTGACCAGGAGGTGGTTATGCTCAGTGGGAGGCACAAGTGTGACTGCCTGGCAAGCAAACATGGTCTCATAAACAATTGCTTGTTCTGTGGTCGCATTGTGTGTGAACAAGAAGGAGCTGGGCCGTGTCTCTTTTGTGGGAATGAAGTGCAGTCAAATGCTGAAAAAGCAGCAGCAAATAGTGGACCACTTGCTTTGGAGAAACCATCTGCTGATAAGAAGAACAAGACTAAAGTGACAGTAAAGAATATTGCTGAAGACATTCAAAAGGCTGTTGAACACAAGAATAAGCTCTTAGAATATGATAGAACAAGTGAGAAACGCACAAAGGTCTATGATGACGAATGTGACTATTTCAACAGCAATTCGCGATGGCTCAGTAAAGGAGACAGGGAAAAAATGCAAGCACTCGAAAACGAAATGACAGCTAAGAAATATGATCGTTCTGAAAATAGAATTACCATTGATTTACTTGGAAGAAAAATAATTACAGATGAAACCAACCATGCTGGAGTCTTTGACCCTGATGACCCGGCTTTAAAAGCCATGCTAGAACACCGCCCTGACGACATCTATGCCGCCAGTGAACGGTCTAATGACATCGTACCCGTAGAGCTGCCTCGTCCAGTGTACACAGAATCAGAGACCGCGTTGCAGCGCAAGGATGAACGGCAGATGAGGTCTGCTCTAGCTCAGGTTAATAAAATGGACCGACTCCAAGACAGTGAACTGCAGGAGATGAGTGACCAGGGCAAGTGTTTGTCCATGCACCAACCGTGGGCTTCTCTACTCATCGCGGGCATCAAGAAACACGAAGGACGATCGTGGTACTCACATCACCGAGGCAGGCTTTGGATCGCTTCCACGGCAAAGACTCCGACCATGAAGGACATAGAATCACTTGAAAGCTTCTACCGCATGCGAGAACAAAGCGACGATTTGGTGTTCCCATTGCACTATCCTCCTGGTTGTTTACTTGGATGTGTTGATGTTACCAATGTGTTATCTCAAGAAGAATATCAGCAGGAGTACCCTGATGGGGAAAGCGACAGTCCTTACGTATTTATCTGTAAAGATCCTAAAGAGATGATTTTCAAATTTTCTATGAAAGGGCAACACAAAATTTATAATCTTGACCCTAAAATTCATCAAGCTGCAAAAAAAGCACTTAAATAGTTTGGCAGTAACTCTCTAGGAGCCAACGGAAAATAATTGAAAACGTGCGTAATGAAAAGCTGAATGTCCCAATTTCTGAACTAGTCATGCTTAATTTTGTATGGCTCACTACCATATGTGGAGTGTAAATGAGACTTCCTTCATTATCGCACCAATAGCTCCAGTGCTTATGCAATCACGCTTCCATAGAACGCCTAACCTAACCTCACTGGACCGAATGCTCATGAGAATACCCTTTACAGTTTGTTTTTGGATTTTCTGTATTTCACTAGACATTTCGTTTGCACTTATGTTTTGCTGAAGGTAACGCACTTGATATTGAGTTAGTTTTTTTATTAACACAAATAATTAGGTAGTTTCAGTTCTACTTGTTGGTAGATGCGTTTCTATGTTGGATAATCGCCTCTGAACATTGTGATTAAACAAGATTTATTAAATTGTATTTGCCTGCCCAGATGAGAAGGTTACGAGGCGCTCACACAGTGATATTAATTTTTGCTCGGTTATAAATGTATGTACCTCATAACGGTCATTATTTGTAAGTTATCTGCCTTAGTAGACATTCATTCAGGCATCGTAATAACCAAGCAAGAATCGGAGAGTGAAAACAACCTCTATGAAAGTTTATATTTGAATTCCGTAGTTATCGTTACATTACCTAAATCAAGCGAATTTACAGGCCAACTAATCGTCAAAAACAAACTTGTCCCACGAGTCGACTTGAAACGAAAACATCGTCGAAAATTGCAGTGTACACAGTAATTCCAAATTATTACCTGACATATCAATTCCAAGAGTAAAATTTTTGGATATAAAATTTTAGCGAAATCAATGTTAGTCGCGAGGGCCGACACGTTACGCTCCGAGGAGTTGATCTACGGTGCAGTAACAAAATGTTCATTACTTGGGTACAGTTGAAGCGAGTTGAGATACCTTTGACAGAAGCAGGAACGTGGTTTGCAGCAAGAAGCTGGTTGCCGAATTTATATGATTCAGAATAGAACAAACTTTTCCTGACATAGACAGGCCGAATACTGGCTGTCTAGAGATGAAGTTAAGCCGACATAGCATTGTAAGAACGTAAGTAGGTAACTGGATGGCTTAATGCGCGCTACACAATTTCGTCAGCATTGTTAGAAGGACCTCGTCAAAAGCGCAATGAAAGGTAGGAATAGGAGCTCAAAGACAGAGGAAGATCGTGTGGCAATTTTCAGTTTAATGTAGCAACGAGAGTCCAGAGGATGAAATCTAACACAACCCTGTGACAACAAAAAATATTGAAGAGATCAGGCAAAGCAAAGAAGATAAAGTTTGTTGAGATCACGTTTATTCATAATAAAATTCGTGACTGAAATCTCCGGAGCACATTAGAAAAGTTATTACTTTCAGAAATTTAAGGCAACAATTAATAAAATTGCAATATTAACCTGGAAGCTGATCGACAACCTCATGCTTTCATTATTCCACTAAGATATTACGAGGTAAAAAATACGATTCAGCACGCGGGGATGAATTATCCCGAGGTCCGATGTGTGCATAATGAATAATCAAATACGTTGGGATGTCTAACGGGGGACAGTTCTTCGTCCTAGTCATCGTCATGTACAACAAATACATATAATTTGTAAAATATAAAAGCGCATTGTAGGATAATGGCCCAGAATATTCGCCGTGTAGAAAAAATCTAATGAAAAAATGTAATGCTTGCAATAGATTTTTCATTTTACCTCACGATATACACGCAACAAAATTGCATTCTACACCAAATAATGGGCTCGACTGCGTGACTGTGTAAGCAGCTGGAAAACTCCAGTTCAGCTAGTAGATATTAAACAGAATAAAAATAACAATGGACAACCTACGAATAATGAAACAGCAACAACAAGCTTAGAAACTCGTAATCATACGTCGACGACAGAACAATAAAGCATTGGTGAGGAAAAGTTCAGGAAATCAGTCGAACCAATATCGTGGAACAAGAAAGTACCAAGAAGCACACGCGAAGGAGAACACTTAAGCCAAGTTGTGATAATCAAGAAAATCAAGCGTTCTATAACTTACAAACTCCACCTTAAAATAGAAAGGAATTAAGTAGGAAAATCGCAATGGTAATAGAAATATTAGCATCATTAATAAATATATATCTCTTTATCGCAGTATTAACTTTTTATCCGCAACGAAAAGCGGAGTGAGCGGCTGCGTAGAAGTACGCCCACGAAACGTTCAAGGTCACGAACCACTACTTGCATGATGGTTGTTGTGCTTGGAAGAATCATCATGCAATGATACAACAAGTGAAGACAACAACCTTGATATTCATTAAACTCATCACTCAGTGAGGGCTCGAAATAAGGCGCTTCTAGTCTATTCAAGACCACGTTCAATACAGTGAAGTTCGTAATTTGTGAACTCAACAATTATCTTGTATTGATTCGCAGAGGATTAAGATAGACTCAATTCTATATCAGCAATAACTATACGGCCAAGTTTCAGTCAACATAAAAAGGAATAAGGGATAGAGAATCACAAGGCGATATCATGGGATTCACTTGAGTGATTCTTAGGGGACTATAATACAGAACTGAAAGTCTACTTTAAAAGGGTCATAGAAATTCAAGTTCACAGTCATGACAACACACTGCATTTTGTTAGAATACATCAGCATGAAATATGACGCTTTCGTATGAAAGAAAGACAAATTTGTTCCAATTTTCATATGAGTGATGAATGAAAATATTCATTCGCTCTTAAGATTTCATGCTATTGAGTAGCATAAAATGAACAAAGAGAATAAAGACCAGAATGAACAACATTCAATTGGGCTCAAATTGTCCGTAAAGAGTTAGGCATCACCTTCAGAAGCTCTTGTGAGCAACCAAATTACCTTCATGAACAGATAACTCAATTGAATGATGAGCACTAACAGAATTTTTTTTTAATTCCACGCATTTTATGGGCGCTATATTCCACGCACTCCCGGCGACATTCGTGCACCAAACATCCAGAAAACCCTAATGTGCGTGTACTGGCGTAAAAAATATGTGAAAGCTCAAGCCAACGGGTAGTTATATGTTTCTTCAGACAGAGCTCCAAAATATCAAGCCCTTATTTGCACCATAAATAATTTTACACATGATATCCCGGAATCTTCATAGACATCCAATAAAACATCAACAAAAACAGGCAAGATTGTTCTCAAAAAGATTTTGTAACATTACTCATGACAATCCCTGCATTTTACACGATAACACATGAAACTTTTTTAGTTTTTTTTTTGTCAGAGCAGCGCACTCACAATTTTGTATAGCAATTTTCACACTTAGACTGATTAAATGTAACCATGTTTACTGCAAAGTCAATCATAGTTTACATTTATCATCAAATGCTATAGACCTCTCTTCACGTAGTGAGCCGAGTGAAGCTCCAGTGAATTCAATTTAAATTCGTGGTGTCAACAGAGGAATGCTAATGATGGGTTCACCATTTTGAGGAAAAACGAGTATCTCATTAACTCCCGTGGGACTGGATACGAACAATCGTATATAAACTAGGTACGATTGTAACGGTGTACAATTATGCAGTCCGCGAGACTGCTTGCTCGTATAATGAAGTTGACTCGAGTTGATGCCACTGAAATTGTTTGCAATTTCAGTGGCAATGTTACTTCTATTTGCAATTTGTCAATATTGTAAAATAGGTAATTTTCCAACAAGAAGTTCATCAAAACAAAACTTGTCACCCATGCACTCTAATTTTCAATGTAACGTCACTTTTAGCTGAGAACTCTTGGAAAACCGAGTACTACAAATAACTTGTAGATATCTGTGAACCTCTCAAATATACTGAAGAAGTAGGTAATTCATTGCAGAGACGTTTTCCAAACTGATCTCAAGTTCTATTAACATTGGCACTGCGTGTGCATCACTATTGTTTTTTGAGCTCTTTGCCGACGCTGTAAGCGACAATTTTACCCCAGTCAATCTTGGTGCGCGTGACCGGCAGCTGTCGACGTAAGGCTTTGAAGGTGGTCTCGCTCATCGTCTGGTAGTTCTCACTGATCGCAGTTTGGTAGTCGTTCTCAGAGTTCTCGATGAGCTGCACCAACTCTCTGGCCGTCTCTTCCTCGCCCTGCATGCAAAACATTTATTCAAGATTTTGTTTGCAACAAATATCAACTGCCGGAGCACAAATTTCTAATGTAATAAAATTTGCATCTTGCCATAGAGCAGAAACTGTGAAAACATTCCTTGAAAAAAGACGCATAAGGTCAATGTCATGTCCTGCAAATATTCTGGATCTTAATCCAATTGAAAATCTTTGGTGGAAGTTGAAGATAATGGTCCATGACCAGGTTCCAACCAGCAAAGCTGATCTAGCAACAGCAATCGGAGAAAGTTGGAGGCAGATTGACTTAACTTAATTCTAGTGAAAAAAGATAGACATCAAACTAGACGACAACGATGGACAGTATACTAAAATATTTTACCATCGTCGAACTTTTGATAACTGTTACTTTTCATAACAAAAACTTAACATGCAACAGCGTTCGGCCAGCTTTGTAGATAATCATAACAAAATACATTCATCAGACTCTTTTAGCTTACATGATAAAGTTATAACTTTCGTGGTATATTTAGGCAATTTTTAGCCCCCTTCAAGTTGCTGTAGCCTCTATTTCTAATCGGGTTAATCAACTCCAGAGATTCACTTTTAATTAAGTTCTGCCATTGTGTATCCTGATTTGTTACATTAAAATCACTCATGTTTTCTGCAGAGTACACACCATTCACTAGCGCATTCTGATCTTTACATACAATTTTCTTGTGCATTCTTCAAGTTGAATCTAATTTACTAAGGCATACTTTGATTTCAAGTTTTGCAACTTATTTAGGCTTGTGGTTTAAACACAAACCTCACACGTTCTCTCAAAAAGATAAATAACTCATTTACTCTAAGCTATACAAATATCTAACTCCTCATATACCCTAAAGATAAATTGCTTAATAGATGACACAAGCAGCAATGGAATCGAATAGGTGGCTTTTTGATCATGCTATCATCTTCTTAACAGATAGCTAACTGAAAAATGGTTAATCGTATCTCGAATTGACAAATTTAATACAAGGTTCAACCATCCATTGTATCAACAAGTCATTAACATCAACTCAAGTCAATAGGAACTTTTAAGTTCGGACTTAAAAGCACTGCTGCGGGTTCCGATACAAATAATTGTCAACAGAGAAGCTTGGCTCACTGCAATGGTGATGGTCTCCTTGATGTCTTTGCTTGTGACGAGCTGCACGTTGCCATCTTCATAGTAGTGCACCTGCACCTTGAGCAGCCCCCGCACCTCAGCCGTGCTGCCCCCCACCATGTTCACGGTCCACACGCTCCGCCACCGTCCATTCCTGCAGTGTTCAATTGCTTCAATCAATATAAATGCGTTGTAAAATTCATGGTCAAACACAAGTATCGTCTAAATATGAACTATCTAGCATTAAATAAAAAACATTTATTTATGATACAAATTTATGTACTTGATCACTTCAGAAAGAAAAAATATAAACAATTTATCCGTCGATGTGTTAATAAATAAATTTTGATAGCCAATAGTGCTAATTGCAAACAACATGGCCAAGGTTCAGTGCGCAACTCAACTCATAAAACATGACTTAGTATATAAACAAAAATTACAAGTACAGATTTTGGTCATCAGTTTGATTAAGTTGAAGATTTTTTATATAAAGATTTAATTAATTTAAAAGCTTTATTATTTATTCTGCGTAACGTAGGTAGTTGAATATTTCATGGTCCTCAGTCCTCACAAACGAAGTCAAGTTCAGTAATATTTTTTCTTTGCTTTAGTAATGGTTTCTCATTACCCATGTTATGAAATGTTAAATACAAATTAACTGATTGAATCGAATTATTATTCTATCAATGTTTTAGACTTGTTAATTCTTAGTATCATGCTATATTAATTGTTCATCATTAGATGCATTCTAGAAGGACAGCACCATTCATTAAATTGGCCACAATTAGCTAATGAAGGAAATAAATATTCATCATTTCAAGTCTTATTCCCTTAAAGCTCGTTTAGGTAATTTATTCAGGTCACTATACTTTATTTCTAAACATGTACAACCCCTGGCGAAAATTATGGAATCACCGGCCTCGGAAGATGTTCATTCAGTTGTTTAATTTTTAGATAAAAAGCAGATCACAGACATAACACAAAACTAAAATCATTTCCAATGGCAACTTTCTGGCTTTAAGAAACACTATAAGAAATAAAGAAAAAAAATTGTGGCAGTCAGTGACAGTTAGTTTTTTTAGACCAAGCAGAGGGGAAAAAATATGAAATCACTCAATTCTGAGGAAAAAATTATGGAATCATGAAAAACAAAAGAACGCTCCCAAACATCACTAGTATTTTGTTGCACCACCTCTGGCTTTTATAACAGCTTGCAGTCTCTGAGGCATAGACTTAATGAGTGACAAACGGTACTCTTCATCAATCTGCCTCCAACTTTATCCGATTGCAGTTGCCAGATCAGCTTTGCAGGTTGGAGCCTTGTCATGGACCATTATCTTCAACTTCCACCAAAAATTTTCAATTGGATTAAGATCCGGAATATTTGCAGGCCATGACATTGACCTTATGCGTCTTTTTTCAATGAATGTTTTCAGTTTTTGCTCTATGGCAAGATGCATTATCTTGAAAAATTATTTCATCATCCCCAAACATCTTTTCAATTGCTGGGATAAGAAAAGTGTCCAAAATATCAACGTAAACTTGTGCATTCATTGAAGATGTAATGACAGACATCTCCCCAGTGCCTTTACCTGACATGCAGCCCCTTATCATCAATGACTGTGGAAATTTGCATGTTCTGTTCAGGCAGTCATCTTTATAAATCTCATTGGAACAGCACCAAACAAAAGTTCCAGCATCATCACCTTGCCCAATGCAGATTCGAGATTCATCACAGAATATGACTCTCATCCAGTCATCCACAGTCCACGATTACTTTTCCTTAGCCCATTGTAACCTTGTTTTTTTTTCTGTTTTGGTGTTAATGATGGCTTTCATTTAGCTTTTCTGTATGTAAATCCCATTTCATTTAGGCGGTTTCTTACAGTTCGGTCACAGACATTAACTCAAGTTTTCTCTCATTCGTTCCTCATTTGTTTTGTTATGCATTTTCGGTTTTTGAGACATATTGCTTTAAGTTTTCTGTCTTCACGCTTTGAGGTCTTCCTTGGTCTACCAGTATGTTTGTCTTTAACAACCTTCCCATGTTGTTCATATTTGGTCCAGATTTTAGACACAGCTGACTGTGAACAAGCAACATCTTTTGCAGTGTTGCGTGATGATTTACCCTCTTTTTAGAGTTTGATAATCCTCTCCTTTGTTTCAATTGACATCTCTCGTTTTGGAGCCATGATTCATGTCAGTCCACTTGGTGCAGCAGCTCTCCAAGGTGTGATCACTCCTTTGTAGATGCAGACTAAAGAGCAGACCTAATTTGATGCAGGTGTTAGTTTTGGGGATGAAAATTTTCAGGGTGATTCCATAATTTTTTCCCCAGAATTGAGTGATTTCATATTTTTTTCCCTCTGCTTGGTCTAAAAAAGTAACCGTTACTGACTGCCACAATTTTTTTTCTTGATTTCTTACAATTAAAGCCAGAAAGTTGCCATTTGAAATGACTTTAGTTTTGTGTCATGTCTGTGATCTGCTTTTTTTCTACAAAATTAAACAACTAAATGAACATCCTCCGAGGCCAGTGATTCCATAATTTTTGCCAGGGGTTGTATATATATATACTGGATAAAAGCAAGTCACCCAATTACAATAATGTGCAGCAATAGTGATATTATTTATACTGAAAGCAAATCAACCGACCAGAAATTCTTTGGTTGGAATTGATGATCTTCTATGCAGCAGACCAGGGTGAGGGCTGAGCCTTGGTTTCTGGCATACACGGCGCTGACACCGTGAGGGTAATGGGACGCCACGTAGGAGCAGAGCTGCGACTCTATTGCGCTGCGCCACACCTCAGTTGACGGCTCTCCATCATTGGGCTGCAACACATTTCATTTAAGAAAATCTTGTTTGGTTGTGAAACTTGATTAATTTCAGAAATTATGTAATGCGGTTACAACACTTGATGTATTTCAGGAACAACCCTGTTATTTGAGCTGAAAAAACTGTTTGTGATAAGTTAATTGAACAAGTTGTTCATTCATTGTGATCCCCCTTCTAAAACACTGATAAGCTGGAATTGATTAAAAAAAAAAGTCAGTGATGCAACATAATGTTTAGTCCACAATTAAGAAATCAAAAAAGAATGTGTTACAGAATTTCATTTTGTACAAACACAAGAACTGGTACAAATAGAGAAGTACTAGGTACTAGTCCATATGAATTGCATCCTATTCTACAAACTTTAGAGGTCTTTCAGTTTGGTAATCTACTTGGATTATACTGTAGTCTGCAGGTAAATAATGAAACAAAATTGAACATGCAAACCTTCAAATCCAGGGCTTCTTTCTTTAGGTGATCAAACTTGAATGATAGTTTAGCTTTAGGATCCAAGAAGCGACCAGAACCAAGGTCATTGTGTTCAGTGACCAAGGCATAGTGTGTCTGTCCCTCCAATCTGACGGGTGTAAGCTGGTCTTTATTGTAGTCAGCAATAGCACGGGCAACTCCTTCCTTCAACAGACCATCATTTTGCACCAGCACCCGCACATCTGCATGACATTAGGAAAAACTTGTAAATCATGGTACAGTGAAATGCATGTTAAAAATTTGCAATGAAATTTTAAAAACATGTTCTAAATATCTTGTCTGAACACCTAGAAATTCAGAACTCATAAAAGTTTTCATTACATTTCTAAACTTGGATACTATTATGTTTATCAATGATTGCCAACAGTAGACCAAGTAAGAAGGCAAGTTTTTAGATTGTCATCACCAACTTAAATTTAAGCCTTGACCTGGATAATCCTTGAAATAGTTAACTGATTGGATTTGGATTACAGTACTTCAGGTTTAGTTTGAAAATAAATGAGACATTATGTAGGTTTTTATTAGCAATTAGTTGTTAGATTTATGGTTCTAAAAGTCTGAAATAAGATGGCATATAATTGAAATTCAAAAAATGTATGTAAGCCAGACTTACCATTAAAAACTTCGTTGAATTCCCCAGGTGGAGAGTACAAGATGAAGTTAGATGCAATTCGGACCTGTAAAACTCATCAAAATTATTATCTTCATTTAGAAAGGAAAATTTGGAAAGTAGTTAATTCAAATGAAATGCTTATGGAAGTGGCGCTGAATTTTAATTTCATAATGAATACTACTTCTAGATAACCTAATGAATTAAAAAACAAGAGAGGCAGGATCTCCAAAGAGAGGTTATATACATACTGGTAAGGCATGGGTCAAGAATTCATGTCCTAGGAAAGTAAACTGCTTATAAATACAAAAAGATCTTGCTCTTCTTCAAATTTTGAACTATCACAATCTAAAAAATTTTGCTAACATATTATCTGTTTTGAAGTATTATGTACATTTCAAATAATTTTAAATCTGAATGCAAAAGTATGACATTGTTAACAAATTGTCATGCTTTTTCAATTAGCTTTAAATTTTGATGTATCTCAAAGTTAAATTGTCATCCATAGGGCTTAAATGACATCAAATTATCTCAAATACCATGAAATGGGGATGACTTGGATGGTTTTGACATTTAAGAAAATGAAATCCTGTAGTCTTATACTCAAAAAGTTCTTGTCATAGAAAAATTGTGTTGATGGCTCTTGCATTACCATGAGATAACCTACAAATGAAATAAATAGATATATTTAATATATTTACTATGTGACTACTTCAATCAGATAGCAGACAAACAGACAAACAAGAAGTGAAGTTAAAGAGAAATATTTCAAAATGATGGCCATGTGATTTGCAGACGCATGATACATCCTAAATGCTGAAGGCACACATCGTTTCTATTCATTTAAAAACTTAATAATTAAACTTCAAGATTTAAATTTCATTTCAAATATGCAAATTTCAATTCAGAATATTTCAGGCAAAAATTTTTACTTCTGATAACTTGGTAGTTATTGATTAGGCTAATTAACTCTACAATGGATAAAGTCATGGACAGATAGACGGACAGACAGATATGATGAGCACAATAGGGCATTTTTTTCCATAAATAAGAAAATGAGCTAAAAATGTTTCGTTCACTGCAAATTTCTGCACGTATTGCCATATTACTCACGAATGAAGGTGAAATTAAAAAAATTTTCACGTGCTAAACATCACCATTAGGTCCTAATGAATACGTGTACAAGTTTCATTGAGCTACGGTCATTACTTTGGGAGATATTAACTGCTCACTGAATTTAGATATTTACAGTGAGACCGGCAGCATTTACGGTCTCAAATTTTTTCGAGACGTTTGTAACGCGCATATTCCATTGATGATATTCAACTCACTGGAAAAATTTATACAAGTATCATTATGTTGCAAGTCAGATCACACGCTTTAATATTAATCAATGGGAAATTTGTTTATACAATTTTCTTTTACTAATAAATGACTTATAAATGACATGCGAGATTTATTTTTTTCCGCAAGTTACAGGCTTGGATGGGCAGCTCAATGGCAAATGGTTTTTAATCATATGAACTGTGTAAGCCAAAGATTCCATTATCATGGATGTTGAGGTTAATTTCACTGCACTAAGACACTTCTGAATAAAAATGGTTATAACCTAATGGCCCTATACTTAGTGAACGAGATTATTAGGCACAAAAAATGTACTACATAGACGCGAGAAAAAGGTTTGAGTGCAATTTTTAATTGAATCATATCTGAAGTTTGGATATAATTTTTGGTCGCCTTGGATGACAGGTCACGAGTCTAATGATCAGCCATATAACTTGAGAACGCAGCGGTCGTCGGAAAGAAATTCTATAATCTAAACACGTGCTGAAGGCTTTAGTGAGTTCTTGTTTGTGATTTAATTATGATGTGCTACTCAGTTGAAAGAATGCTCTTCCATATGCCTTGGGAAGAAACCCCCTATCGTGAAATTAAATACCATAAATAAAGTGCGCATATTCTATTTTTCATTTACTGCATCTGATAATAAATATTCATAATCCAAAATTCAAGCAAATCTGTTCTCTATTGAAGGAATTATGAGTGTCTGGGTTGAAAAAAATTATGTTTATTGTTTTTAATTAAAAAATAATTTTTGTAAAAATCTGTATTAATTCCTGCTGCAGCGTATCAATAATATCTACTCACATATTAAAATTCAAGCAAATTCGTTCAGTATTGAGTGTCTGGGTTGAGAAAAAAATATGTTTATTGTTTTTGATTAAAAAATAATTTTTGTAAAAATCTGTATTAATTCCTGCGGCAGTGTATCGATAATGTTTACTCGTAACTCGCATATTAAAATTCAAGCAAATTCGTTCAGTATTGAAAGACTTATGAGTGGTTCAGTTGCGCGAATCCGCAGCCAGGACCGCAGGCGGGTCTGCAAAAGTGTCGATTAAAAGAGAAAAGAGAAATAGGGCATAGGCCCATGTCCTGTTGCCGATTCTAGTACTTGTCGTGACTTGATTCACAAGGTTGATTTTTACGTTTAGATCATTTCATTTGTTGAAATTCACTCTGTGATGAATGGGAATGTGTTACACTTAAATTTGCAGTACGCACATGAACAACAGAGGTGCACATCCGTAGTTTTAATTTCTTCCCATTGTAACTAACTGGTATTCTTGGATATGCCTGAGAGAATATGAAATTCACCAATCCCATTTGTGAGTGGCTCGCATTTGTCAAACAAATGCAAGTAGCCATATATTAAAAAGAGCTGAGGTTTGATAATTCTGGTGATCGAGTATTTAAAACTGAGTAAGCAGTTCTGGATAAGAAAGAGTAACGTGTGAGTTGTGACCTCCGTATTTTAGGGAAAGCTTGCATTTGTTTACACACAATATTTACGGTGAGGTGAACTGGTGAAGCGGTGAATTCATTAGTAAAGAAACCTAAGAAGGCACCGCTGCTTTGAAAAATTAAACCATTAATGCGTTATCTGTTAGGTGTTTGTTGTATATAAAGAATATAATGTACATAGACTTAACTCACTTAAGGTTATCTCATTATTAACGACTAGTGTTTTCATTGTTAAGTTATCGAACTACTGAAGAAACCTATTGACTATCGACAGCATAAATCCTATCGACTATCGACTGGCATGCGGTTGTTCAACAACCAGATGACCTTGAGTCTTGAGATAAATTTTACAACAACTCTTGTGCCACACTATGAGACCTGGAACCATCAACAAAGGCATGGAACTAAAACAAAGCTTAATATAAAGGAAAAACTAGAGAGGTGTTGGATTTACCCACGATGTTGGAATATACCACGTTTACCCTATGTAATGTCACTCCCTTTGATGATACTGAGTCAATTTGAGGTAAACTGGCTTATTCACTTATGTCTATATTTTTCTTTACAGTTTGAGGAGTCTAAAAATTTGTTGTATTGTCATTTGTATTGAAAATAACTACAGAAGAAATTTCAGATATTGTGTGAATCCTTTATTGACTACGCCCACAATTAGAATTTTTTGTTTGAAGAGACAATATCCAGAAAAGAAAACGAAACTGCAAATTTATTAACATTTTCATTCATTTACCTTATCCTCGTCCGAGATTTGTTCACTGTAATCACTTGCCATTTTTCCTTTTCTTCGGAGGAATGTCCCGTTCTATCAAGTGTCACAGCCCGATGCTCTTTACGTTCACATCTTCAACTGTGGTCATGTCATTGTGAAGAAGATATCCTTCGTTTGCAATGTTGAAACTTTTTGATCAGCTGAATTTGACTTAAATGGACTTGAAAAAAAACACATTTTAAAATACATTCCTTCATATATATCTAATAAAATATTCGAAATCTATATCGGAAAATCGAATGAAACATTCTAATTGGATATGTATAAAGTCGTTTTGATTCGTAGTGATAAGAATTTTTTTTCCGGAATTTCAAACTGTTTATTGTTTTTCTAATTAGGTCCTCCTCGAATGCATTTGATAAAATCATGACAGATAAAATTGATCTTGATTCGGATTATTTTACGAACACTAGCTATAGGAAACAAATTTGGACCGATCGAGCAATTCAGCGGCGGTTCACTAATTTACAGTCAAAAATATCTCCCAATTACCTGAAATATTTTTATAGGTATTTACGCAAGGACTCGGTGAAAAATCCCTGATTATGTTAAATTTGAATGCGTAGTTTTTTTTATTTTGTCAATTATATTTCAATATGTGCGGAGCATTGGCCATTTCAAGTGAAGAAAAACCCAGCGAGGTTTTGTAACTAACGCAAAATAAAATTATTTAAAATTTTTTAGGATAAGCTGACGTCACGTATTAGGCCTACTTCCAAGTAAAAACGGTTTGTGACGTCTGTACATTCTTGTCTCTCGCAAATGAAGTCAGAACTGAAAATGCCTGTACGCAACAAAATATTACGAGTCCGTACGCAGTGTCATTGAAGTCGCTCTGTAATTTGCAAAAAAAAAAAGTTCTAGCGTATTCCTCATAACCTAAATGTTTACATGAGCTTCAAAACAAAGTTGCGCTACAATTTATGGTAATATGGCAAATATTTTTCGGTCACTGAAAGCGGCTGCCAGACGAAACAGAGGAAAACATATTCTGTTGAATAAATTAACGCTCTTCATACAGATACAGTGCAATTCAATTGTCAGTTTAAGTGAAATTTGAACGTATAATTTTTTCACAAAAGGAACAATACAAGGAAATAAAAATAAACAAAATATACATAGTACATTATTTAGAAGTATTGAAATAAAATATGGACACGATTGCAATGAGTGCACGAACTAAACTCACTGCATGGACTGGACAAAGTTGATGCAGTGCACGGACTGCAGTACCCAAACTCACTGCATGGACTGGACAAAGTTGATGCAGTGCACGGACTGCACGACCCAAACTCACTGCATGGACTGGAAAAATTTGATGCAGTGCACGGACTGCACGACCAAAACTCACTGCATGGACTGGACAAAGTTTGTGCAGTGCACGGACTGCACGACCAAAATTCACTGCATGGACTGGACACAGTGAACGAAGTCTTTATAAGCAGCCAACGTTCGTTTATCAATCAAATGCAAATGAGTCAAAATGATGAAGTAACTAAAGGCCCAAGATTGCAATAAGGTAGAGTGCAGGGATTTTTTATGTAAGCAAAAGATAAAAAGAAGATTAGCCATGCATGTTTATATATTTAATCTCTGTTGGTTAACCTTAGCGATTATAGGGCCGTTTTAAACTGAATGTTATTCAAGTTCATTACTTTGAATGTTATCTATCGTATTTTCTCTTGAAATTGTATAGTTATTCAAAGCATTCATATAACTAATCAAACTAATTAATATTCAAAATATAGATTCTTTACAGGCAGGAAAATAATTTTAGAAGTTAATGTCGGGTCTGGAGTTTCAATATATGCATTATATGATTAGATCATATGCAATTGAGACGTAATATTCACTTGACGTGGTAAAGATTGATGGAAAAGTACTAGACCTTCGTCAGCGTCTAGACGGCATCACGTGAAAGATCACGCGATCAAGACCTTAGTTGTGGGAGGAAGCTGAGATCCAACAAAAGGGCTGAGAACCTTAGTAAACCCCCCCCCCCGTAGTTGATAAGCGTTCTGGGATGTAGCTCGCGCCATTATTCTCCGACCTTACGGTCGACGCCGTAGCTTAGACCTTATCGTAACTCCTGTATGACCACCCCGTATCAAGATATGTTATCTAGACAGACCTGTCTTACTTATAGAATCGAATGAAAGTGTCAGCGTTGAAGAAATAGGCCCATGGCCTGTTGCCGATTCTTGAACTTTTCGTGACTTGATTCACAAGGGCCTTCGCCAACGAACCCTCCTTAAGTCAGGAGGTGCATAAATGACCACCTGACATTAAAGGTTAAACTTGAACACAATGAAACGACTGCTATTCGTTAAAAACATCCATGCATAGTTATTTAATGGATTAAAGTTGGATACAGGCAAATCTTCATCCTTATTTAAGCTAAACAGAAAATGTCGGTCAATATGACGAATTGTAGGTGGCTATCAACGAATTAAACATTAGGTTTCGCGTGGTAAATTAAATAAAGAATGCTGGCATGGCAAGAATAGTAGTACTACACGGAGTAGCCAGCCGCTGGCTACTTACAATGTCTTTTATTGTGTACATGGATGCGACAAGTATGCATTACTTCCATGAAAATAAAATACAAATCGACTTAAGAGTTACATACAATATTTCACATTTCCTTCGGCTGCTTATCCAGATTATCACAAACACTTAATAACCATTAAGTGATAAATCATAAACTTAATAAAAAAGAGTTCATAAATTAGAGATATAATAAGTATGTCACACTTTAGACCTGAACTGTAGTGAAGATATATAATGTATTTTTCCTCAGTCTATAAAATATTGAACTCGTACATCAACAAACATCGTACTGATAATAGAATATATTCAGAAATGAGCGAGATGTAGTTATAAAATACGTTCTTCTGCAAACAAATTTTTTAATTTATAAGATAGACCATCGTGATGATCACACGTACGAAGACACTAATGAATTACCCTATACAATCGCAAATCTCTTGAGGTTGATAATTTTTCCACTTCGACTAGCGCAAGCTTTTGGTGTCGAATATAACCTTCACTTGAAGACGATTCAATACTCATAGCCTGTTTCCCAGCTTATTTTGTATATTTATTTTGGCATTTTTATTATTGTTTTTAATGGGGCTGGTCTTGCCGAAGCGGAACGTTCGCGACGGAAGGCTGCGCTCTGAGCCGCTGGTGTTGCTGCTGCAGTTGTCTGAATAAATTTTTCTGCTGCTCGATTTGGTTTAATTGTTGCTGACGTTGAGCTGACTGCTGTTTAGTCAACAAATCTTGCTGAGCTTGAATTTGGAGCTGTTGTTGGAATCGATCGTTATCTAAAATTTGAGCATTGTTATTCTCTCGCTGAAGCAGCGCTCGATTTTTTTGGACTCCATCATTGGTTCCTCTCAAAGGCTGGTTTTGATCAGCTGCTATTGCCCGCAATTGTGATAAAATATTTTCCCGCAAATTTTCTCTAGCTCGCTTATCAGTTTGCTGCTGCGAAAGGAGTTCTTGCTTCTGCTGTACATGGCGTTGTAGCTCCTGCTGGCGTCGAAGATGATCACTTGCAGTGTGAGGTATGAAATGATGTTCTTGCATCTTTGCTTCCACGATTGTGGGACGCAATTGTGATTTTTCTCTCTGGTTTTGTTTTTCTACCAACTGAAGGTGTGCTTGCAGCTGCGTTTGATGCAGCCGGAGTTGCTCGCTGTGAAGTTGGTCACGCTGCTGAGCATGTTGTTTCAAAGCCTCCTCATGTCGCAGTGCGGAATGGGCGATTGAACTCTGATGCTCCTGGGGCAACGAAAGGCGATTAGCACCATTATCAACAGGAAAAGTATCACTCGTACTTGGAATATTACTGAATTGTTGCTGTTGACGTGCCCGCTGCCCGAAGTTTGGCTGCTGTTGCCGCGCTCTGTTCTGCAGTTGTACGTGTTGCAGCTGTTGCTGAGGAACATGAGTATGGACCGGTAGAGGCGGAGGGAACGTAGGAGGTGGAATGGTATTAGTCAATGCGTTATGCACACCAGCTCCTACTTGCCTCACTTGGTCGTGAGATGCTTGCGGAACTCGCGGGGGACAAGGATTTCCAGACTGGTAAGGGAATGACAACGTCACTCCCGTCTCTGGATCAACATACCCGTATACTCCGTGCACAACGCAATCGTGACCACGAGTTTCGTTTTTAAAAGAGCCGTCGGTATTTAAATATCCATAACTAAATGTACCGTCTGGATTAGAATTGGACCATGAACGGATAATTTTTGCTTCTGGTATGGAGTTGAAGCTGAAAGATTTATCAGAGGAAAGCCTGGGATCCGTTACACTGTTCACCTCACCCTTATGAGGTCCGGTGCTACGAGGAGGAATTGACACTCTATTGGAACCCGTAAAATCTATAACTTGAGCATTTGGCGTTTGCCTAACATTGCTTAAATCTACGTTTTTGATGGCGTTATGTATTGCACTTGCATCGCTTACTGATTTGCTTCTGTCACTAAACTGATCAGGTGTTAAAACAGGTCGAGGCGTTAGGCCTAAAGATGGATCGTTTCTGCTAGGGTTAGCATGGATATTTAAGTTGTTTCTTCTTTGGTCACCTGAATTTATCGGAATGCTGCGGTCACCAACGGAGTCCATCACAAACCCATTGGTCTCTGATCGCAAGCTATTTGTGTCAGAGACAGGACGACCATGTGCCTGCTCGCCTGATCTAATTCTAGGAGTCACGAAATTGTTCTCTATAAGTGAAAATGGGTCTTGCTGAGATTCATCAACCAATAAAGAATCAATGTGACCCGATTGGATAGTTGGATCATGTACATTATTGGAATCAAAGTGATCAACGTGGTTACTGAAGACAGCGGCGTCTGTTTGATCTAACGCCCTGGAACGGCCAGTAGTTTGGTCAAGGTTCTGGAAGCCTCCGTCAAAGGAAGCCGTTATCAGTTTGGGTTGGTGGCCCGGCACCTGCAACCTCTCCCTCTGCGACAGAGACGAGGCGCCTTCGCTGTCAGAAGACAAGTCTCGGCTCACAGGGGATCTACTTGCAGGCCTCTGGTTGGGAAGATGCATCATGCTCACTCCAATTACGATCGCAAGAAGAATCTGAAAAAGAGTAGAAAGTTAATTTTTTTAAGAGGTAAGGTAAATCAGACATTTATGTATTTATAAGCTAAACACATTGTACGTTAGAACAAACTTCTCAGTCGAATATTGTCAAAATGAAAAACTACCATATAAGAAAAGGTGCTTAATTAGTAAACAAATACGGTTGCACTGCGTCGAAAATATCCAGAAAAGGTATTTACTGAACAGAATTTTCGGCACTGATGAAGAAATTTTCAATAATCTGTGATTAAAAACAGATTCAATGATAAATAAGACGATATAATTGCCTTGAGCTTCAATTTAATCTCCTGAAGACAACTCATTTGGGAATCTTCAGAAACGGAATTCGACACGATGCGGCAAACAATTAAGAAATAAAATGAACTTCAGCTTTCCACCATCCCGCCGTGGAGCCCAATTGGACAAGTCTTCGACGGCTCCCATGAATCAGTTACCGAAAAAAATTATTACTATATGCGAGCATGACAAAGGCATCTAACTATAGGCTGAGGGTGTCCGAGTGGTCAAGATCACCAAGAGCGAGTTTAGGGTTCGACACCCAGGTTAGGTTTTTAGGGTCAAAAGCTTACACCATAATATTATACAAATGATAATATATTACCTATATATAAATTGTTTAGGATATCTACCAATATTGGGTCAAGAAATTGGATTATGCATCAATTTTACACGATCTGAAAAAGAGAGTTCATGAAAAACTTCACTGAGATTTATTTTGAAGGGTTTCACTTAATGAAAATTATTATATTTCATCACAGTATATTGCTGTTCAAATGTAATTACGGTTACATTTGAAAATTGATTAATACCAGCGGTTTCGCCTTTGATCGTCAACGCCTCATTTGATCGTCAACGCCACAATTAATACATTGGCTTCCTGTAGAGAGTTCGTCATCATCTCCTAGCCAGCCTTGCACCTGCAAAGCAATAGTCAAACTCTGTAAAATAAAGCAAATAATTCGGTTAATCTCTAAACTTTGCAGGCAGTTTCTCTTTTGTGTTCTAGTGAAGCGAAACTTAGTTACGGAATATTTAATTATCCTCGGCCAGTAAAATCAAAATTCGAACCGAAACAGACCTTTAGGTAGACATTTTTCTTAAGGCGGTTAAACAAATTAACTGACTTCAATCATACCTCCATCAAATGTTGGCTTTCAAATTTTAGTTTATGAAGGTATGAATGAATAATTGAATGTACATTGAGATTAATGTCACTAATTCAGATTACTGAAGAACTAGTGTAGCAATGAACGAATGGCAAGCAACATGGGAACAGAAAGCAGTTCCCACTCATGCGCGACATACAACAGGAAGTGCGTATTAAAGATAATTAATTTAATGTAACACTATCGATAAACAATTAGTGAATTAGGGTCTGAACCCTTAGGATGTATCAGAAGCTTCTTAGTCTAAATTTATGAGGTCGGAAAATGTACTTAAAGTGACCATAAGGTGCTATTCAGAAGACAAAGGCGGCTAGGAGGTAGAAGGAAGCTAATTACTTAGAGTGGATTCACAACTGACAAGAAACGAGCCATCGCAATTAAAGAATTATAATCGAGCGAGGCGAGAGTGGAAAGCGGAGTGCCTCAGAGCTCGGTGTTTGGACCGATCATCTTCCTCATCCACATCGCCGACATCGATTTGGAATTAACCCACGCAACTCCATGGCCATTTGCGGACGATAGTAGACAGCTGATGAGGACTACGTCCGAAATGGCCAACGAGAGGTTACAGGATGACTTGTCAACTACCTACGACTAGGCTCTAGTGAATGGAATAGAATAGAAGTGTCGGCACTGAAGAAATAAGCCCATGACCTGTTGCCTATTCTTGAATTTTTCGTGACTTGATTCACAATTGATCCGGCCTTTGGAACCCAATCTTTCCATAACTGGCGATTGATTGAGATAGCTGCTGGACTTGTTGCCTGGTCCTTAATTTGCTAGGCATTTTAAGACTGAACATATGCTCCTACATAGCTTAGTTTAGTCTGTTCTTGAAGGCGTTAGAGTGAATTCACAACTGACAAGATCATTTATACAGTTCAACCGCACCAAGTTCAAAGTAAGGAGATACAGAATAGGTGCAGAGGTCTGGATGCAGCACCGCTACTTGAAATCGGACAGCACAGAAATTGAGGAGAAACAAGTTGTTAGTGATCTCGAGTGTTGAATATGTATTTTTTTGCAGTTTTGTCATTTTACGTTTTTATTTTATCTTTCGAAAAAAAGTCCAAGCGATGACTAAATTGACACATACTAAAGCCACGTTTGATTACCACATCGCGGCTTTTGTTGCGAAAAGCAGGCAACAGATAGGATGGATACGGAAAAGATTGCGGACAAGAGAAGCGGCGCCAATGATTACACGTAAGGCGCCGCTCAAGGCGAGTGCGGTACGGCAATTGGCAGCAGCCCAGTAATCTATAACACTGTACATTTAGAAGATGATAACCGGGGGCCATACTTTCAAAACTGGCTAAGTGAACGTAAGTACTTACGCACTATTTTCTTGTCTATGATTGGTGGATTTTGCTCGAAAGGCCGTCAATGATTGGCTGATGAATTTACGATCTCTTAACTTTTTTTGAAAGTATAGGCCCGGACTGGCTCCGAACTTTAGCCATAGTGCCATATCACAACGGAAGGAAGGGAAGACAATGCAGGATACCCTCTTTGAACAACCGAGCTGCGGCCAAAATTCAGACTCTTCGGTAGGGGTCGCTTTCCGTTGCAGGTAAGAGGTTGTTTAACTCCTTACTGATGTAGCTGAGGGGAAGGCAGGTCACCCTTGGGACATTCAAGAGACGACTAGACGAGTTCTTGAGCACGATCCCAGATCGTTTGTCTCTGCCCTCTATTATCAATAAGAAAGCGACAGCATTTAATATCATCTGGCTCAAATGAGGGCACACGCGCGGGGATCACAATCATCACATTCAATGTTACCTCTAGGGCCTCAGTGGCGGCTAGACTGGCGTACGACGGAGGCGTCGCGAGCATCAGCGTGACAATGGACGAAGACGTTCCGTAAATCATTCTTGGTATCGTTCTGCAAGGACACTAAGCGAGTTGTGACTTCTCGTGATTCGAGAACTGTGCAAATAGCAAGTCATCAGTGTGGATATCGGGCCGTCAGGAATGAGTTAGACATCAGTTAATTTGCCCCAAACAATTCTTGCATGTTTGGGGCAATGTTACAATGCATGTTACAAATATATGCACTTATATAGAATAGAAGTGTCGGCGTTGAAGACATAGGCCCATGGCCTGTTGCCGATTCTTGAACTTTTCGTGACTTGATTCACAAGGGATCCGGCCTTTGAAACCCGATCTTTCCATAACTGACGATTGATTGAGATAGCTGCTGGACTTATTGCCTGCTCCGTAATTAATCCCTCACAACAGATTCCATTACCTTGCAAACGACACTTGTCAAACTGACAGGGCGATAGTTGCCCGGGCAGCTTTTGTCACCTTTTTTGAACAATGGTGTCACTTGAGCTTCTTTCCAGTCAGCCGGCAACATTCCTTCGTTCAAAGTTTTTCGAAAAAGTGACGTCAGAGGGCCGTATGTATATGAAAAAATCTACAATTTTTCATATACATACGCACAAAATTTAAGTACATTAATGATTTATAGAGGGTGACACTACACTACGCTCTTTAATATTCCCCTTATCCTCGTCGGTTTTGGTCTCATCAATAACATCGGCTACTGAGTTATGACTAGGCACAAATGAAATGAAAAAGCTGTTTCAGCGTTTAATAGGCCGTAGGCCAGTCGCCGATTCTTAACTTCGTAGAACATTCACAGCATTTTGCGGTCTCGAACTCGCAACTCACTGCTACACTTCTGCTGTGCTTAACCGCCTGACCTCCTCGCCGATTATGACCGGAAACAGGCGCACAGAGCTGGGATCGAACCCGCGCCTCTCTGCTCCAATCTTGGTACTCTGAACTTTAATCACTGAGGCACCAAATGGTCAGAGCCGGTATATTATTTAAATGCTTTGAAATGTGAACAAAAAGTATAAAAAACATCGAATGAGGTAATAATTAAAGCTTTAAATAAATACCACATGTTCAAAGTTAGGCTGCACCGCAAAAACGGAGCTATTCTACACGTACTCCTGTTTAACCTTGTGGTCAGATTCGATGATGCATTTAGCGACCGCTACCTCATGCATGGCAGCATGCACGTGCGCTGCAGATTTAACCATTCTCTTTACAAGGTTTACTTTTTGTTACTAAATCAACACGAAACAGACGGGTACCCACTTCAAGACTTGTCATTAGGACTTCAAGATTATGTAATTGTTTACATCAAATTTACTGAGTTGATTGGCAATTGAACGCATTTTTATGAATACCGAAAGACTAATTCCGGTGCGTAGGAAGTTACTCAATCTAGAATCTAGATGGAATTTCGAAACATTCTTAGAAAAATTAATTTGATTAGAATGAAATTCATGTAATTTGGTGATAAGCTTCCATGCTTCGTTTAAAATTAAAATGTAAAAACGATGAAGGTCTTGGTGCAAAATTAAAATATTGATGCAGTATCACGAAAATTGTAATAACTTAGCTGCAAACGAATAGCATGATATAATTCTTCGGTAAAATAATTATACAAAAATAAACGATGTTCACAAGTTACACAGCCATTGCCAGCCCGCATTACTTTCTCATGAAGATGCAATAAATATAATTTCTATTTGAGTTGGGGTGCCTTGTTGAAGCATCCAGAACGACGAAGCAGGCGGGGTGCCTGCGACAAAAACACGTCTGGCAGGGGTAAGCAGGTCCATCGGAGCGGCGGCAAGCGTGCACCGCAAAAACATTCATTAACTATCAAACAAAAAGGTCCAGTTATTCGAAGTGAAAGTTCACGGACCTCCTCCTCAACATAGCCAAACGAGTTCAGTTAAAATCCCGTACTTCACTTACGAGGAAAGATTCCAAAGTTTATATAGTTTGGTGAGCAGTCTTGCAGATTTTCTCTAAGCTATTCCACAATCTTTTCAGTATTAAATATTAATCACGTAAATTGTAGAAGTAATTTGAAACTCTGAATAATCCCCAATTCAGGGAAAAAATGCACTATGAATCGCTCGAGTCTTGTGCTGCACTTCCAACACACTATTCACTACATGTTAAGTTATATTGATGTCCCTCTAAAGTCTCTTACCTAGAATTAGAATTATTGTCAAGGAATTCTCAGAGGCAAGTTCCTTTAAAAGGCAATAGTCTCTCATGGCATGACATATTCTAATGCGCGTTTGGCAGTTGAGAAATATTTAAATATTTTGAAAACGTGTAGCGAACATTTCACGTAAAATATGGAGAGACGAGGGCCATCTTTAGGAAACATAGAAGTTTATTATCTCTAAAGCCACTGAGCCAACGACACCCGTTCCGTAGGTCAAAATTTACAAAAATATGCATTTCGTGCCTACGTTTAGATCAGTGAAACTACTAGTTTTTCGAACAAACAGTGCATTTAGTACCGACATTCATAAAAATGGAATTGCTAATGTTCGAATTAAGTCTGCACTGCTGAATGAAATTTCACTTACACTGCGTTTATTTGACTTGGCTTATGTCTTTAAACGGCATGACTAGCGCTAAAATCAGGAGTCAGTAGCAAGCATTAAGCAGCATGTTTGCATTCCATAGGCTTAAAATATAGATAATTAAGCATGCCAAGAAATTCAACAGATATTTTTAATTGGTTTAATATCATGACGCAGCAAACCTTAACCAGTAACCGCCCATACCTCTAGAGAGAGTTCGATGTTATGCTCCATAAGCTTGAGAAATCCAGATGGAGTCAGTTACGGATCATTATCGTTTACCATACTTACAAATATTAAAACATTAATTAGAATATTTTATAATCACTAAAGTATACCAGGAAATTTTTCCTCAGTGACAACCAGTGAGCGAAATCAAAAACCTGTAAAAAAAATAATAATTCTACAACACTTTGAGCGCACGAATAATGTCATTACGTACCCATAATAATGACGTCCATTCCCCAGAACCTGCTCAAACATCATTTGCATGTACGTCATTAGAATAATTCATAACATATTGTGCAATACTCACCAACAAGGCGTACCCAGCGATGAGGAAGCCGAGTGGTAGTCTAGGTCCCCAGCCACAGCCAGCGAACCTCTCCTTCCTAAGCAGCGTCGTGACGACAGCAAGACCTGCGGGTTTCTTCGCCTCGCCACCAGGTGGTATGTCGTATGTCTGGACCTGGGCATCACTCAGCTTCTTGTGGATAAGCGTGACGCTCTTCTTCCCTCTGCCTAAAGTCGACGGAGATGGCGATGTCACGTTGCTAGGCCTTTTGATGAAGCTATTGTTCAAACTACCACTACTTTCTGACGGACTAGGTTCAGTTATGTTCACTTTCAGACCTCCATTGCTTGTCGCTGCTTTAGCTAGCGTTGGCACTGCGTCCACAGACGCAGAGCCATTCACGTCCACAAGGTCGTAGTGAGAAACAGCTGCGTTCGAAGAATTTTCCTTTATCTTTGATGAACTTGAGTGTCTACTACGCGTAAAATGTGCGGCGTATTCGGCACGAGCGGCATTAATCTTGTCGTTTTTTTGTTGACGTGACAGAGACTTAGATGCTTGATTCATGTCTATTTTGCCTACTATTGCATCGATTCTCTTCGCTCTCTTGAGCTCAGCGTACTCAGGCGCTGGATGATAATTCTCCATTATAAGTCGTCTCAACCTAGGGCTGTGTAAAAAAGATTCTATAGGATCAAGATCCGAAATGTCCAGTGGTCGGTCATGTTGGGAACTCCGACTTGGTGTCTTAGTCACCGTGGCATGAGACGTAGATTTCTTCTGGGGCTTAGCGTACCCCACCATTTCCGATCCTCCATTTTGGACAGGATTTCTCGGTGGGGGAGGAGGGGGAGGAGGCACTGGCGACGAGGGTTTGGGCGGTAATGTTGAATGGCCGCCAGGTGGCCGAGCTGAACTGGAGGCCAGAGGTTCGGAGCGGCCGTTGCTGTGGCGGGAGTCGCTGGTTCGCAGCGGGTGTGTCCTGATCAGCTCGGCGAGCGCGATGGGCTCCGTCAGGTGGCACGCGTGGCATTCGCCTGGCGCACGAACTGAAGGCATTGTGTAACTATGTCCGTTGACAACACACACTAACTAACCGCTAACGTACTGTTCGATAGTAAATTTCATATGGGCCGCCTCACCCAATTAAAATATAAGTTCACATTCTTCACGGGGCGAAAATCTGGAATCAAACACAATTAAGAGTTTAGCGGAAACGAATATTAATTTTTAATATAATTTCTACATGATATATAGGAAGAGTTAGGATATGTGCCTAATGTACACGTACAATTACAATAAATATATTAAAAGTAAATACATGAAGTAACATCAATGAGACACTGGCACCATAAACTTAAATTGAGAAAGTTTGTATGGATGCTGAGGCCTTGACTTCAAGGCAACCAAAACTATGACCACCTAATGCATCGAAACGCACAAGCACAGCTTGCTGAAGTTATTTATTATATTAAATAAGTCTTCGCATGCTGGCTATTGTTGGTATCTTCAGTGGGTGGAAAAGCCATAAAACCTGTGCAAGGTTAATGTCAATATGGCGCCTTTAAGGTTCAAGGTAATGCAATAAAAGATTTAATAAAAGTGCGTTAGTTTTGTTTGGCGCGACGACCAACATTGACATTTGCTGGGCAGCGGGCACACTTGCCAGCCAACGCGGCTGTGTGAGACGAGCGCAGCCATGACATCAACATCAAAATTTGGAAGCCTTTTTGCACGCGAGTAAGTCGGTCACGCAGGCTGAACTCAAGGAAAAATGTCAAAAGTTTTAGGTTTACTCGATGTGAACAATGCTATAGAAAGGTTTCAACGACGGGTTGGTCTAAATCTATAGTTGCATCCAAATAATTTCCATTGCAAGACTTTCTTCTCGTTTCTAAATTTAAAGATTGACACAAACCAAGATTAATTTTATAAAATATAATGCAACGACGGACACAATGCGGTGAATGATTCCTGCTTTGTAAAAGAATTATTTTGAAAAGTCCCACAATTGTTGAGGAATATACACGCAAATATACGTACAACTGGTTAATAATATTTTCTTATCACCTTCAATTGTCTTTCAAATTCGAAGACAGTCATTCGATGCTTTCATTTTCCACCTATTTCTTCTGACAGCATGTTTCTTCACTCATGTTCCTCCTTATAATGACCATTCAGCTGAAACCCCACTAGACGCCATTATCATTCATTTCCATGCGATACCAGCGGCTATCGTGCAAGTTTTTCCTCGCTCCAGTTCCAGGATGTCGCTCAGCAGGACACCCACTGTGCGCGCCTGGATTTCCATGGCTAACAAGAAGCAGAACCAAGGACCGTACTATCTAAAATAACTACGAATTTGTAACTTCGTTAGCCAATCATCGACGGCTTTTCAAGTGAAATTCACCAATCACGGACGAGAAATCATCCGTTACGAGTACTTGAGTGTTTTGATAGTACGGCCTTAAGGAGCAGGACGAGGACAGCGTCGACTCGCTTGTCCTGGCGAGACGCCCCTTGCCATTTGATGAAGCTGATAGCCTTCACCTCGACAGAAGCAGCTCGAATAAATTTCATACCAATAACTAATGAGCCAGTTTTCATGGATGATATCGTTTGTGAGATAATTACGAATTTGGCTTAGGCATTCAATATAATGACTTAATCTAATGAATGTTTTACAGTCCTTTCATCGAGCGAGAGTGAAAACTTACAGGGAAAAGTCCTTTTGATAACATTATTCGGAATATTGTATTAACAAATTATTAAAGTGATAGGGATTCCCTGCGCGCAAATCGTTGACTGGCGTTAGTTAATGTCCACTGCTTTTATCAAATTCCCTCCCTCACTATAAAGTTTTCTTTAGTTCATGCCGTTCTAAAGTCATTTTATTTTTTGACCGAGGGTTCGGAACAGAGAATTCAACACGAACTGCAAACGCTTGCATGATCACGCACACCAGTGGCCTGGAGCCCACTGATCTGTTCAGTCGACCGTAGGTCTGCACCTAACATCAAATTGCGCAATTGGAGAAAAAAATCATCTCGAGCTCCACCAACTCCTAGCCACCGTTTGCTAATTGTCGTGGGCACGTTCTTATGTCAAGCAGATAATAAAATGAGGAAACTCGGTTTAAATATATTTCTATGGACGTCGATCGATATTATTTGGCACTGCATACCTGAATATATCACGTCACGCAATTAAAGTAGAAATGCCCGTCATTAATATGTTCGGATCTATTAACTAGAATAATTTGAGATATCCAAATTCAAACTGTTGTAAAAATTATCAGTCCAGACTGCTTACATGGTGGCCCAGTGGTTATATAGTATATACAGTTCAGAGTACCACTATATTGGAGCCGAGAGGTGCGGGTTCGATCCCAGCTACCTGCGGCAGCTTCTGGTCAGAATTGGCGAGAAGGCCGGGCGGTTAAGTAAAGCGAAATTTAGAGTAGTAAGTTGCATGTGCGAGACCGAAACAAGCTGTGAATGTTTTGCGATGTTAAGAATCAGCGACAGGCCTACGGCCTGATGAACGCTGAAACCGCTAGTCATTTCATTCTATTTATTCATGATATTATTACTTGAAAAATATTTCATGGAACGTTAAAAAAAATCATGGCAGGCAAAAAGCGCTATATATTACCCTTAAAAAATAACTATTCGGTTATAAGGCGATTCGAGCACTGCAAGGTGTTGACTGAAAATTTTTGAGTTCAGTTTTACACATAAATTTGGATTCAATATTAAAAATTATATATAGATGATCGTTAAAGCACACAGGAGCTGAGAAGTAGCAGTACAACTACATTTGCTAAAAGGATAAATGACATTGCGTTCAGAATATAAAAAAAGAATGAATAATTCATATATTGACATTTGAAGTATTTACTAATGTAAAGTTTCATAGGAAATTCGCTTTTACGCACAACAAAGCGCTAAAAAACTATAAAGAGAGGTGAATATATAATATTCATCAATGCCGAATTTATTAAAGGTACTTCGCATAAACACTTTTATTGAGTAAGAATAAGGAGTACGCGAAAGCTCGATTTTCTATACCAGTGCAATTAATTCCTACTTGAAAGAGAGGCTCGAATACAAATAGAAGTACATTTTTCTCCACGTGATCCATCGTTTCCGGTGAAATAACAATGAAATTTGTAGACACAACCTTCACTTAATTACAAACAAAGCTCCAAAGGGAACTGAATCTAAAACAAACCTTAACAGAAACATACTATGTACTTTTTTCACGAAAAAAGCCACATTTTTATCTCTTTTAAAGTCACCCATCAATCAGCTCAGCGGGTATACGGACAAACCGCGGTAATTATTTTTCATCAGAGTTAAACACTATTGAGAGTTTTACACAAAAAGCTCCTTGTGCTCGGCAGCATTGACCTTTTGCATGGGCCAGGACTGAGTGTCTGCTGGCAAACGCAGAAGAATAGAAGAACGGAGCAAGAAAATCATGACTCTACACTCGAGGAAATTCCAAGGTAAAATGAACGGAGCGGAACGCTGCAGGCACAAGTCCATGCCTGGACACATGCAGCACGTGAGGCATATTTGGCGATAACATATTTGGTTTGAATTGTTGACTATTATGTTTATCATATCATACAAACTCTAATGATTATATTATATAAACTAGACACATGCAGCACGTGAAGCATATTTGATACTAACATAATTGGTTTGAATTGTTGACTATTATATTTATGATACTATAAAAACTATATAGTGTTTATGATATTATATAAACTTATCGTTAGGTTTTCGCGATAATTTTTATGATCTATCTCCTATATTGTTACAGAGTCAAGCAGTTGGAGCAGATCCTATATATTAAGATTTATTTGCGCACACCAGATCCTGTTTAGGGAATAATTATAAGTGATATGCATCTGAATAATGTTTGTGGTTACGTAGCGTCCGTTGCGATGACTGAAACATCGTTATTTGCGTTAAATTTGTTGAAGTAACATTCATTGAAGAGAGAGCGCGCACAAAAATTATGCATACAGACTCTGGATGATTGTTGCGAATGATATGAACACTTAGTTAATAGCATTGTTCAAGATAAAAAGGTAATTTATACTTGAACTCGAAACGTTTAGATTTCTGTAACCAAAATTCGAGAACGACAGTGCGAAGCTTTGATTCTAGATCTTCACTGAAAATATTACCATAAAACAACTCTTACATTTAATTCGTTAATGAATTAAAAATATTTCGTGTAATTTCTTTCTAATCTCGATGGGCTAAAAAAACTTCATTCGTAAGTAATCGAACTTACGATCGAGAGTTCAAGAACGTAACAAAGTTTATTCTCTACGACTAGACTTTAAATGCAAACACCGCTCAGATAAAATGAAAGATAACATTGCAAAAAAATCTTCAGATTAGGCAACAGCAAGCGCGCGGTGCTCTCACAGTTGGGACACGTGAGCATCCTGGACTTTCGCTATCTTCGAGCGAGGCGGGGCCGATTGAATGAAAACCGCTCGGGAAGCGAGCCTACATGGCACCATATATCTGCATGTATTGGCATAATATTGTCATCAGTATCAACATGTGTACTGACACAGGTGTTGACTCGGGGCAAGGTCACGCTCCAGGCACATTATTATTGGATACTCAATGGATATAGTGTATTAAACAGCTTTTGCAGGGGATAGGAAACGCAATTATGTTGATTCGAATTCCATGGTAAGATCTCTTGACATGACAGTTAAGACTTACTCAAACATCGAAGAATAAATCGTTGCCGAATGCACCCATTTATCTAAATAAACAGAGATTCCAATATTTTTTCATTGCTTTGAAACATCATATTGTCAAACGTAGATGTTTGGGATAATGTCAAAATACACGTTGATATCTGTGGTTTATTCCCACTAAACAGGTTTAGAAGATGCAAGCAGGATTCATATCAATATGACAACAAGTAAGTAAATATGATACAGGTGTCCTTTGCAATGCCGTTTTGATCTTCTAAAATTCGAACGTGTAAATTTAAGGTAAAATTTGAAAATCATGCATATATAGTAGCTATGAAGGCCGTGTTTAGTTGTGATCGCTCACCAAGGTAAAAAAATGTAAAGTAAAAAATAACAACCAGACGAATTTCCATTAAAAAACGTGCATTTTTCATAAAGATCCGAGACCA